AGGGTTTAGGGTTTAGGGCAGAGCCTCTCCGGGCGCCATGTGCGGAGGGAGAGGGGGGGGAGGGCCTCTCTCCATGCGACTGAGGCTTTCTCTTTTGAGTCGGATCTTCGAACTTCGAGTTTTTCCCGCAAGCGTCTCCTGCGTTTTCTTGTTGTCCATTGGCAGGCTTCAGTTGGTTTTGTCGGGCTTCTTTTGGGGAGCCGTCGGCTTCGACCTCAGGTGGGCATGACCTTGCTGACGCTCTTCCAAGCCTGCACGTCTGGTGTGGACTGGAAGGAGCCTGAGCCTGGCATTCCCAGCACTTCAAACGCAGGCATGATGTAGGACGAGTCGCTTCGGCAGCCAAGTGCTGTTCATAAAGTGCCGTTAGTGACGTGATGCAACGACGATGTTATGACGACGGTGGCCCCTAGGGGCGATCATGATGATCATGATGCTGCTGGTGGTCGTTGCGGATGTTGAAGCTTGTACGTGATGATTACAGCAATGCTGACGGCAACAACAAGGCTGGATAAATGTGCTGCTGCAACTATCAATGTCTCTCCTGCAACTTCCGCAGCAACAAGCACCAAACAGCAACCAGCAACAGCAACAGGAACAGCAAGAGCAGCAGCACCAGCAACAGCATGCAACAGCATGCAACAGCGACAGTGACAGCAGCAGCGATAGCGACAGCGACAGCAGCAGCAGCAGCAGCCGCGGCAGCAGCAGCAGCAGCAGCAGCAGCAGCAGCAGCAGCAGCAGCAGCAGCAGCAGCAGCAGCCAAAAGCACAACGACCACAACACCGACAACAACCACGCAAGTTCTAGCGCTAGTACTCTTACTACTACCCGTTGGAAGACCGCTCCGAGAGACCGGATGCCAGGATCCATTCGACGTGCTCACGATCTCCGGGCCCGGCACCCTAGCAGTGGGTGAACCCTCGAGTTGTTATCGTTTTGATTCTCGCAGCTCGCTCCCGTTGGACTCCTATCGGCATCTGCCGCTGCACCTTCTGCGACGATTCGATGCGTCTTGCGAGCGTCTGGCAGCCATGCCCCAAGTTGAAAGACTTGAGCTCCAAGCCATCTTAGACCCAAAGCTGTGAAGCCCGAAGCTGCACAGCGAGGGAGACTCAGCTGCCCGCACTGCCCTAAAACCAAGGAAGGCTCGTTTCTTTCAAACAACTCAATTTGTTGACCGGATGTGATGAAGTCGAAGAGCCGTGGACGGGGTGATGCGCGTACCGCCCAGTTATGTAAGCCCCAAGCAGGCCTTTACAAATTTGAAATTTTACAGCCTTCCCTGAAGCAGGGATGTGCTGCCGGCAGCCTTCCTGTTCTACGTAGCCTTTGTCTTCATCTCCGTCTGGTGTCTCGATCAGCACATTAATGATGCGATTGGGTGTGATGTGCATGGCAGTCCATGGTGTTGTGATGATGGCGAGGACCGTTGCAATTGCTGCAATGATTTTGGCGTATCCTAAGGCTTTTAAGGTTTCGCATCAGGATATTGGCACTTGTTATGGCCTTACTGTAGGTGTCGGTGTAGGTGTCATAGTGGCTAGGTAACTTTACAGCGCTGAGGGCTGTTGTCCTTATTTGCGGCAGGAGTACCGCCGATTTGTGGTAATGTCCGAAGACATGACAGGAACATCATCACAAGTACTTTTGTGGAGAAGGCGGGGGCTTCGGTGAAGCTTCTTTTTTGAGGCTTTTTGGGCTTTTCGAACTCTGGCGGCGAGCTCGCCCCCGAAAGAGGTTCAGGCTTGTCTCCTCGACTTCCTGGGGCCCTAAACTCTAATCCCTAAGCCCTAAACCCTAGGGTTCAGGGTTTAGGGAAACCCCGATGCAGAGAGAGTTCCCATGCGCCTGGGTCTCCGCTTGGTCTCTTAGATAAAAACTTCTTCATCCCTGGCCAGGCGCTGAAGCTGGCACAGCCGGACATCGACCTCCTGGTCATGGAGCAGCAGCTCCAGGACTACCAGGACACGCAGATGCTGGCGAGGGGCCCAGAAGAGGGGTTTCAGGGTTCGGGCGGTTTAGGGTTTAGGGTTTGGGGTTCAGGGCTCGGGTTTAGGGACAGAAACGAAATCGACAATTCGAGATGAGGGGTTGACAAATGCCGAGGAGCATGTAGGACATGTTGGTGCATGCCCGAAGAGACGCTGACGACTTGTTAAACGTAGACAGCAGGATTATTCAAAGAGTTGAGAAACAAGGAGATATATCGATGCCTAAGCTCTAAACTTCAAAGTGTTCTGTAGCTCAACATAGAGGTTGGAACACTTAGCAATAATGTCGTCGTATAGTCCCTGTGTATCGGTGGTATATAAGTACTATGCAGCGTACCCGAAACCTTCGTGTGGTATGGGGCAGTCGAGGCAGAGCTCTTCTCGGACATGCTGCAGACAGACGAGGACGGTGTTCCTCGCGTTGGGCCGGGTACCCAGATTCAGACGACAGCTTCAATTGATGCTAGCAAAGATGACGATCCTGCCGATGATGCTGCTAAGCTACTCTTACTATTACAAGTGCTACGAGTACTGCCGCCGCACCCGACTCACAGCGGTTTAGATGTGGTAGTTCTGCTGTTGCTACGTCTGCGACTGCGTCTCGACGGCTACTTGCTGGTTCTGCTCCATACTCGTCGTCATCCCACCACCAGCAGCAGCAGCAGCAACAGCAGCAACAGCGGCGCGCGTCACGCGTCGCGCGGCAACGGCAGCGGCAGCGCCAGCAGACAGCACACCAGCACAACAGCACTGTCATCCGGCACCAGCACCAGCACCGCCACGGCCACGACCACTGCCACCACAACCGCCACCGCCACCGTCACTGCCGCCACCACCACCGCCACCACCACCACCACCACCAGCACCACCACCACCAGCACCACCATCATAATTATACTGTTGCACATTTTCCACGAAGTTTCTGTGGTCGCATTGCTCCCTTCAGCATTTTGCGCTATGCCGTTCCATCTGAGGCTGGAGGAGTTTCGGCACCTTGTGGAGAACAGCGACTTCCGCTCTTACCTACAGACAAGGCATGGCCTCCAGTTCGTCTTTCTCTTGATGTGCTGCCGGTACGGGTAAGGCCGTGGGCCGATTCCGATGTCGATTCGTCTGCAGAAACAGCCTCCATGTCAGGGGGATCGACATCAAGAATGCCGAGACATTCTTCAAGATGCTGGTGGAGCTGTGACTTGCCGGCACTGAGGAGTGTTGGTTTGAATGAGAATCGAGACCCTATAACTCCCGAACGGCCCCACCTCTCCGGAACCCTGAAAGCAGCTTCCATCAAGAGCCCAAGGCACGGAGAGCCAACCATCGACGCCATCACTTTTGCAAATGCTTGTGTGCGAATGAAAGGTCGGCTTTTTGGCACTTTCGGGCCTTTCGGGCTTAGAGCATCTCAACAGCAGCGTTAGAGTCGGAAGTGAGTCTGTGATCGACGCTGATCCTTCGTCGAACCGAAGGGGCCTTCCCCAAATGATCCGGGCAGGTGCCGCGACAAGCATTGACCTGCAGACTGCCCGGGGGCCCGGATCGAGGTCATCCTTGTAAGGGCTCTTAAGCCGCCCAGCTTGCCTGCGATGAAGACTGGCTCCGAGTTTGAGGACTCGTGTCTGCGCTCGTTCTCTGTGCAAATTTCTGTGTGGTACCTGTCTCGCTCATCCTTGCAAGTTGCCGAGTTGCTTCTTCCTTCTTCTGGGTCCTGCAGGTAATGTATACGACGCACCTCATGAACAAGGACCAGCGACGCGCCTTCCAGTTTATGCCGCTTGGAAGTGACAGGATGCGAAGTGATTTGCAATGTCTGTGTGCTGTGAGCAAAGCTTATGCTGCTCTTGTTGATGGGTTGTTGCTACAGCCCTTCCACTGCTCCCACTGCTGCTACTGCTACTGCTGCTACCAATGCTGCTCCTCCTCCTCCCCCTCCTCCTCCTCCTACTACCACTAC